ATGATGAGAGAGAATCATCAGTCGGCTGTCTCCTTAACATCTCACACAGGGGACTGAGCCTGCAACCGGGGCATGTGCCCTTGACTGGGAATCGAACCATGACCTTCTGGTTCACAGTTGACACTCAACCCCTGAGACACTCCAGCTGGGCAGGAAGGTTGGCGACTGCTGGAGAGCATTCCAGTAGCCTGGACTAAGGTGGTAGTGGTGAAACTGGAGGGAGAGATATAGAATAGGCAGCATCAAAATATATTGGGGAGGTAGGCAGACCAGACATGGTGACTAATAAAACATGGGGAGTGGGGCAGAGCAAGGAGCCAGCGAGAACCTGGGGGTCCGGTCCAAGGGTCCAGAAGATGCCACTTTGGGCCACTGGGAAATGGTAGTGCTGCTACCCTTGTTCCTCATTCCCTGAAGTGGGGTGACAGAAAAAGGTGCTCCCCGGGAACAAGGTAAGTTGAGGCATGAAAGCTTTCCTCTTCTCCAGGGATCCTGAAACTCCGCCACATCTGGAACCTGAAGTTGATGCGTTGGTGAGGAGGAATGAGCCCCTCCCAATGGGCCCGGCAGGACTCACCCGTCTCTGCCCAGATTTGCCCTCCTCCTGCTCTGACCAGGAGGCGGCATCCAGCAGCCCAGGCAGGGCATGGGGTGGGGCGCCACAGGTCCTCTGTGCCTACATTTCACATCGCTGACGGTGCCAGGCGTCACGCTGGGGGGGGGTGGGTGGAGAAGCAGGGCGCAGAGGAGGCGGGGATGACTGTGGCTGTCCCCACTCCAGGACCCCCGCAGCTGCAGACATCTGTTTCACCAAGGAGCTGCATTCTCACTTTTTCAGCCTGGGCAAGTGCGTGCCTGTTTGCCGAGGTGAGTTACTCCCCCGGGAGGGGCCGGCGGGTGCATGGAGACGCTTCTGCAGGTTTCTCTGGCTTGGGCTTGGAGCAAGGAGCCTGGTCGCCTGTGCATCTGGCTTGGCAACACTGGAGGTGGAGGGACGCAGGTGGGACAGGCAGCCTGGGAGAAGAGGGCCAGGGAGCCATCGAGCGCTGCCCACTGGCCTAAGGCCCAGCTCCATTGCTGGAGGAGTGCTGGCTCCTCTGCACCTGCCTGAGGATTGTGTAAACCTGGGGCTCTGGCATTAGAAGTCAAGGAGGCATGCCCTGGTCGGTTTGGCTCAGTGGATAGAGCATAGGCCGATGGACTGAACGGTCCTGGGTTCAATTCCCGTCAAGGGCAGGTAACTCGGTTGCAGGCTCGATCCTCGGCCCTGGTTGGGGCACGTGTGGGAGGCAACCAATCAATGTGTCTCTCTCACACTGATGTTTCTCTCTCTGTGTCTCTCCCCCTCCCTTCCACTCCCTCTAAAAATCGATGGAGCCCTGGCCAATTTGGCTCAGTGCATAGAGCATCGGCCTGCGGACTCAAGGGTCCCAGGTTCGATTCTGGTCAAGGGCATGTACTTTGGTTGCGGGCGCATCCCCAGTGGGGAGTGTGCAGGAGGCAGCTGATCGATGTTTCTCTCTCATCGATGTTTCTAACTCTCTGTCCCTCTCCCTTCCTCTCTGTAAAAAATCAATAAAATATATATTTAAAAATCAATGGAAAAATATCCTCAGGTGAGGATTAACAAACAAACAAACAAACAAACAAACAAACAAGTCACTGGTGGCAGTGTGTTATCTGCGGTGCTGGTGGCTTGTGCTGCAGGCTGCAGGGAAAACACACTTGCTTGTGGAGGGAAGTGTGTAACATTGAATGACTACTCGGCACCTCTGAAGAGCCTCAGGAGGTAGGGGCCATTCTGGTACCCATTCTCCACATAAGGAAGGATTAAGCTGCTGGCCCAAGGTCATTGGGCGAGAGGTGGCAAAGCCAGGATTCAAATCCAGGTTGCTCTTTTCTCTGGGGAAATAGAATATTTCCAAACAGAATGTGAAAGGAAAAGCATTCTAGACGCACGTGGCAGGCACTAGAGAGGTCGTCGATAAGGGTAGCAAATGCAGGTTGTAGCCCAGTTGGCCCGGCTGAGTAGTTGAGCGTCAACCTATGAACCAGGAGGTCACGGTTGGATTCCCGGTCAGGGCACATGCCCAAGTTGTGGGCTCAATTCCTAGTAGGGGGTGTGCAGGAGGCAGCCAATCAATGATTCTCTCTCATCATTTCTCTCTCCCTCTCCCTTCCTCTCTGAAATCAATAAAAATATATACATTTTTTTTAAAAAAAGAACAGCCCACTGGTTTGGCTCAGTGGATAGAGCGTCGGCCTATGGACTGAAAGGTCCCAGGTTCGATTCCGGTCAAGGGCATGTACCTTGGTTGCAGGCACATCCCCAATTGGGGGTGTGCGGAAGGCAGCTGATCGATGTTTCTCTCTCATCAATGTTTCTAACTCTATCCCTCTCCCTTCCTCTCTGTAAAAAATCAATAAAATATATTGAAAAAAAAAGAACAGTTGGGAATAAAGATACTGGGGACTCAAACCACAAACTCCCAAACAGAGGCGAGATTGCAGAGGGGAAGAGCAGGGAGAGAGCAGGGGCCCAGGACAGCACCTCAGAGCACAGAAGGACAGACAGTCTCCAAGGCAGCAGGAAGCAATGGCCAGAGAGGAAGTAAGCAAAGCCACAGGAGCTTCTGGGGGCTGGAGAGGGGGAAGGGAAGGGAGACAGCAGGGGTGGCCACTCCTTCCAGAGGTTGGTGGTGAGGCAGAAAGAGGAAGAAGTAACCAGTGGCCCTGGCCAGGTGGCTCAGTTAGTTGGAGCGTCATCCCATACACCAAAAGGTTGCAGGTTCGATGCCCAGTCAGGGCACATACCTAGGTTGCGGGTTCGATCCCTGGTCATTGCAGAAGGATGTTTCTCTCTCATATTGATGTTTCTCTCCCTTCCTCTCTCTCGGTTTGGTTCAGTGGATAGAGCGTCGGCCTGTGGACTGAAGGGTCCCAGGTTCGATGTCGGTCAAGGGCACATGCCCGGGTTGTGGCATTGATTCCCAGTGGTGGGCGTGCAGGAGGCAGCCGATCAATGATTCTCTCTCATTGATGCTTCTCTCTCTCCCTCTTCCTTCCTCTCTGCAATCAATAAAAATTTATTTTTAAAAAATTAAAAAAATAAAATCAATAAAAATGTATCCTTGGGTGAAGATTTAAATTAAAAAAGGCCCCGCTGGTGTGGCCCAGTGGTTGAGCGTCAACCCGTGAACCAAGCAGTCACTGGTTTGATTCCCGGTTGGGGCACATGCCCAGGTTGCAGGCTTTATCCCCAGTAGGTGGGCATGCAGGAGGCAGCCAATGGATGATGTTTTTTTCTCATTGATGTTTCTCTCTATCCCTCTCCCTTCCTCTCTCTCTAAAAATCAATAAATATAGTCTGGCTGGAGTGGCTCAGTGGTTGAGCAACAACCTACAATCCAAGAGGTCACGGTTTGATTCCTAGTCAAGGGCACATGCCTGGGTTGTGGGGTCAATCCCCAGTGTGGGGTGTACAGGAGGGAGCCG